GTTGTATTGATTGTTTGTCATTGTTTGTGTGACAGTGACACCCTTGACTCCGATTCTGACATGACACATGGTCAAACAAAGCAACACACTACTCACTACTTAAGCTGCCTCAGCAAAACAAACAACCCTGCCTCTGACATAATGCACATAGTTATATATAGTTATATACTGCTCACTGTTTTGTATTTGCGCCTAACCTAACCTTAAATTTGTTTTAGTTTTTTGACTGACTAACTAGCTATTAGTAACTGTTTGAAATCGCAGCAGGAGCAGTAGTAGCAGTAGTGGCGGCAGCAGCAGCAGCAGTGGCAGTAGCAGAAGTAGTATATAGTAACTATAGTAGTAGTAGCAGCAGTAGCAGTAGCAGTAGCCGTAGTAGCAGCAACAGCAGTAGTAGTAAAGTAGAACGTAGAAGAAGTAGAATGTTTACGCTTTGTTGCAAACCTTATCATCATGAAGCAGTTCAAAGAGGAACCAGAATATATAACGGAAGTGAAGTAGTAGAGTCAGCAACGTCTCAGAACAGTAACTGTCGTTGATGCCTTGATTGTACTTGGTGGCACAGCAGTCGCTGAATACAGTTCCGAGGAGCACAGTGGTGTGGTGGGCGAATGCTTGATACCATTCATCACGACTTCCCAACTTCTTGTGATCGACCAGACACGCACTGTTGAGGAGCAACCCCTGAAGTTTGTTCCTTCTCCATATTCCACTATGGTTGCGTCCCCAGAAAAAACCCGTTCCAGCAATGCAAAAGGGAGCATCAAACTTCCAATTCCAATCATTTTGCCCTTTTGGCAGTGGTAGACACAGGTCTTTTGCAGCCATAGCAATCTGATCAATATCAGCCAAAACTAGAGGGAAGTCTGGCACAAACGAAGTACTTGCACTGGTTGACGGTCGCGTCTGTGATGAACAAGGAGTTGATTCAGTAGACTTCAGCCACGATGCAATGGAGGCCAATGTTTGGTAGATCAGGGTGTGAAAGGCAGCAGACCTCAAAACCAGCATTGACCACACCGCTGTCTCTGCCCGGACAACGGTCTGTCTCGAAATTTCGACGAGAACTGCCATCGGAAAAGCCACAGAAGAGCATAAAGCCAGTGACGCGCGAATCCCCAACGCAATAAAGCCTTGTTTCGTTAGGCGAACATGTCCTTGAGTGATCGCCAAACTGTTTCATGCATCATCCAAAGTAGCCAACTCAGCTCTTCCATTCTGCTTGTTCTTTCCAAATTTGATCAACTGTAAAGAGCGGTTCTCTCTCTCTCACCCTCTTCAACTCCCTCTTGTATGCATCACACCGGTTTTCCAATGTATTGATACGTTTGACAATCATGGGTCTATGACAAGTGTCAATGTTGCCCTTAACATTGGACCAGCACATCCTCTGAAAGCGCTTCGGACCATCAGTTGCTTCAGGCTGACTGAACGCTTCTGGCACAAGTGCAAAACTCCGTACGCTAGATGATGTCTCAATCTGAGTCTCAATCTCAATCAAACCAAGACTGTCAGAAGACGGTGTGCTTTGACTCCTTCCGATTGGCGGGAGAGTTTGCATTGATACTGACCGAGCAAATCCACCGCTGCAGTCAGCACTGCCCTCAGAGGACTTGGTTTTGGTTCTCAAAGGCATAGGAGTGTCCCCCGTAGACACACGCCGCTGACATTCCGTTGCGATGGCTCGTTCCCAACGGTCTGCACTATGCCATCAACAAGCAGCAAAACTATTTGCAAAGAATAAACCATGCCGCTTGCAGTGTATCGGATAAACTCTGCCTCAGCATCCAGGTGTAAGGTTAACAGATCGCACCGCACTACCACATTAGCCTTACAAATCAAGCTACTAAACAAGTCCAGTGTACAGTGTACCCAGTGGCTACCACAGGTGCCAGCATACCATCGCTGATGAGATTACTGTTGAACTGTTCAAGGTTCAAGGACTATTCATTGTGTGGACTGAATGCCAAAAGGCCATAAAGACCTGGTCGATGTTGACAATGTTGTTGTGGCAGTTGTGGCAAGGTTGTGACAATGGTCAATGAATCAATGAACACCATTGTCGACAGTAACAAATACAAAGAAAACGTTAAAACAATTTATAAAAGTACAAGTCTATACTAATAGATATGATACAAATGATATCATATAATTTTACTATATTATTCACAATTTATATATTATTCACAATATATATATATATGCATATCAGTATATTCTTTTTTGATTGCCTAGGCCTAAGGCATCAAATCCCGTGTTTGAGGCTTGGCTAGTCTACAAGTGTCTTCTTCAACGCAATGTCACTCAAGTCTACCTTCTTGAACGGCTCAAAGAAGACTCCCAGCGACCCCGAAGGAATTAGTTTTCAATAAGTCGGGCAACGCCTTCCTCCTCAGCGCTTGCAAGCAAACCCTGGACGGATCGTTGGCCCTGTTGCAAAGCCGCAGACTGTGTCGTCGCCGAACTAGACGCTTGCGATGCAAAGAAGCCGCGCAACCTGAGATTAAGACAAATATGAGCGTATGACACACACACACAAATAGTAATGATGATAATAATAGTAACAAACTTAACAGACTAGACTCGGCGAGTTCGGCTATCCATCACCGATGGCTTTACATGTGTTGTTTCCTTCGCTTGAGCTCAACTCTTAAACACAAGCTTTCTTATGCTGAATTTCTAGAACATAGCTAGAAAAAGCTTTCAACTTACCAAGTTTCTCATCCGTCGATAGCACCAGCTCAAGGCCACCAGAATCGCGGACACCGAGCCGTGCTCTTGCCAGAAGCCGCAAAACTTGAAAGTTAGCCATTCCAGGCCATTACCGTGCTTCCACCAAGAACAAGAGATGTGATTATCATTGTTCTACTTGCCGTTGGAGATTGGACACTACTCCTGTGTCCTGTGTTTGTATGTTGCCTTCTCTTCATGTAATAGAGCCCTATGATTGATTAGACAGATGATCCCCAAGGACGCTAACCTCAGCATCCGCTGTTCTTAAGCTGGAACATATCTCAACGTACATTTGGACACGCCTACCGTTCGATCAGCAAACCTTGCTGCGAGGTTTTTCAACCTAATATCACCTTTGCAGCAGTTTAATCCGTCACAACTTCCCTACACACAGCCTTTTCCAGAAAAGCGAGTCACGCTAGGGCACCTAGGCACCTTGCTTCTTCGAATGAAGCGATGGATCGGAGGTATATTGAGCTTCATTTACACAAACCACACTACACAACCTCCAGGATTCTTCAACCAAGGCCGCCTTCAAACGGAGAGGCAAGCAAACTGATCTGAATACACAACTATAGCCAAGTCAGAAGGGGCTTGCTCCATTGTCCTTCGGAGGACATGGCAACTCTGCAGGTCCACCCATGCCGGGAGTCGAATATCCTTCCATTCTCAGGATGATTTTGCATTATTGCAAGTTTGCATATTGCCGCTTAGACCTTCTCAAGTGTTGTAGCCAAACTCAAGCTCCTGCAATTAAGGCTTGGGAACTGCCGCCTCAGCTGCCTTGGTGGTCTCTTCTACAGCCTCACAACGCAGTCCAACACGCAGTCTGTTTGAACTCACGGAGATATACAGTAACCTCAACAAGCGTAGATTGACAACATGCTTTGGAAAAGTCAAACGTTCCGTCAACGGATACGCCTCTAATCTTGGGATCAATGACTATACATATCGTGTATGTATATATATATATATGTGTTATTTGTGGGTGTTCAATGAATGAACATGGTCCATCAGCTTCATGAAGCCCATCCACCAAAACGGTGGCTCAAGCTGGACAAGGCCAAGGGTCATTCAGATTGGTAGGATGTCTAGGATAGATCATAGGGTGATGGGTCTGATCCTAGGGTTTTGGTATGCAGGGCATCCCCATTTTCTGTTGAGTTTTCATCACTCCATCCGGCAATTGCCATGTCGGAAGAGGAGGCGCAAGGAGCGGGATCCAATGGAGGGACCAATGGGAACACCACCACTAATGGACAACCGATTCCAAAGATCGAGCCAAGAGTATTTGTCAAGGACGAGATCAGCGGCAAGTTGGCCGTCTTCAGGGACAGCAGGCCGGTCAAGTCAGTTGAACACCCAGCACCTCGAACAGGACTGCTCGTGAATGGAATAGACTTCCAGAAGGTGAACCACCTGGATCCAACAAAGCTCAAGACCAAGGACGGCGTCAAGCTCAGAGTACAGGCCTTGGGAAGGCCATGGAGCCAGCTGAAAGAAGAAATGAACCTTCAGCTGTTTGAGAAGGCCAACTTCCAAACCCCTCAAGATGGAAAGGCAGAGGTAAAGGACCTTCGGGATTACATCATGGTCAAGCACTCCACCCGAACCATGGAGGATCACAAGAAGATCATTATGGGGAGTCACGGGAGCCTCACCAATGACTGCAACTACATCAACCACGAGGTGGAGGCCCTAAAGACCGAGGAGGGTGACCATGGCAGATGGGATAAGGAATAATGGGTTCACCAGGCCCTCCTGGAAGAAGGAGGAGAACATGCACCATTTTTGCCATGATCTCAGAGAGCATGCAATTATCACCACCCAGCAAAACAGCGAGCTATCATCATGCTTCCTCATCAATGATGGGAAAAGCTCACTGGCTAATCAAATGGCCAGTTCCATGTTGGGGAAAAGGACTTCTACCAGGACATGGGAAGCGAGAATGGCCAGACCCGTCACATCCAACATTTGAGAGCAAGCTTCCGGAGAGGATCACCACGACCGTGGAGCGGAGTCCACAGGACAAGAATGATGAAGAACCTCACGATGACCTGCCAGAGAACGCGGAGATCATCCACCTGACCACCAACCAGGAGAGAACAAAAAGGAGTTATATATAAAACAGGAATGATGGTGGTTTTAATCTTAGTGATTTTGTGTGTATGTTTTCAAGGGGATTGGAAGACCTCATCCCATGAGCGGGGGGAGGTGTGTGAAGTGTTTGTCATGGAAGAGTTCTCAAGTCAGTTCACCAATCGCCTTCAAAATTGCTGTAGGAAGCTGCAGCTTATTCCCGGACGGGTCGCAGCTAGACCTTGTCCAGCGAGTTCCATGTTTCCTCCAGGATGCCGTAGAATGGAAACGGCCCATGAGGAGGTAGAAAATCTCCTATTTTCCGAAGAAGAAAGCACGTTGCGATATTAGATAACGGAGCCAGTCGAACGGTTATTGGAGAAAGAAGGCTTGAGAGAATGTTGGGTTGTTTGGAGGGTTCGATTAGGAAACGAGATCGAAAAGTTGATTCCTCCGGAGTCACCTTCAAGTTTGGCAATGACGGCGTTCTTCAGAGCACATACGCAGTGCTCCTGCCACGGAAAATTGGAGGCTGGATCAAGGTGGAAGTGATTCCTTGCAACACACCCTTTTTGCTGTCCAATTCACTCCTCCGAAAAGTAAAAGGGGTAGTTGATGTGGAAGGGCGGAAGCTCATGTTCAAAGGGGTGAATTTTGGAATACACCTGGTTGAGTGTAGAAAACACCTGTTAGGACTTAGTGTACATGATCTTCTAAATGGGCCATGGAAAGACCTACAGATACTCCTTGAGAACAAGGAAGCAACCAGGATCCACACTCCAGAGATCACCAGAGACGGACAGCCGTCCAGCATGCATGAACAATGGAATTCAGAATGCCTTTCTCAGCAGCCGCATGAAAGTTGTCAAGACTCACATAGTGTCAACGACGGGCTCAGCCCAGTTAGAACAAGATCTTGCCCAAGCACAAGCCAGCAGTACAAACCAACCCGATCCAAACATTCAGTGATCGAGGAAGATAAGGAGATTGGGAAGGCGACCGCCTGCATCCAAGCACACAGACCCCGAAGACCAACTGAGATGCCTGACCAGTGAGCAGGGACACCGGATTCACCAGGAACTGCAGAACTTATCACAAGAGATTGAAGACCAGCTAATACTGATGACAGGGCTGATGAACCAGTGCATGACTTTGCAGAAGATCCCAAATTCGGCACCACCATCCAGCGAAGCCACAGTTGAACTCTTGGAAATCTATTGCGAACCAACATCTCAACTGACCTCTCAATTCAACAAGCAAGGTGGACGCGCCTTGAGGTTCACCAAGAGGGATGGAGATTTGGATACTCAGGAAACAGTTCAACGGTTGTGGACATGGATAGTGATGTATGAGCCCAGGCACATTTGGGCGGCACCAGAGCGTCGACTATGGGGAATGTTCTCTAGGTTCAATATGGGCAGGAGCCAAACTGCGCATAATCGTATCTGCAAGAACGAAAGTATGATTTACACCGCCTACGACTGCGCAATGAGATCTATTTATATCAGACGAGTACAAACCGACATTTCCATTTGCAACAACCCGTGGGATCAGAAATGATCCATCAGCCAGAACTCAGTGACACCGCATTGGGCACTCTTCCCGCCACCTTTGACATGTGTCAAGTGGGCCAACTGCATCTTCCAGGATCCCAGAAGTTCCTACGAAAAGGAACTCAAGTCCATACTACCAGCAGACAATTATGGCAGGAACTCCATGGACACCGCTGCGCACACCAGCATGAACATGAACCCATCGAGGGGAAATACAAGACAAAAGACAACTGGGAAAACATCTCGACCTTTGCTCAAAACTATACAGGAATGTTTGGTAAGAGAGTGGCAAGGGTTTTGAAACAGGAATGTAACCTGAGGGAAACACCACTGATCCTAGAAGAGATGATATTAGGATTGGAAGAGCATGAGCGCCCAGAAATGGCACAGGAATCCTTTCAGTTGCGGAAGCGTCGCCGGGTATGCTTTAAACAAACAGAGGAAGCTCTATACGGCAAGGCTCCTACATGGGAGCGAGTGTTTCAAATGGCAGGCACCCGGACCCCAAGAGTAGGAAATGGATACTTTCGTAAGGGACAGGAACCCCTAGTGGACATGGTTCAGAGGATTGTTCATGACATGGAAGTTCACTTGATTATTTACGGTAGGGGAACGGATAGGTATCGAGTAGGTGGAATCGACCTTGAGGGGAATACCTACGAGCAGGGAGACTGGGGAAGTGGAAGATTTGGGCCCCCCCAAGAATGGACTAAGATGACCAAGCTGGGAAGAATCGGTAAGGCAAAACTTTCCAAGATCTCCCTCACAATCTTTGGACACCCCCCCTCAGGGTCAAGCCACCAGCTCATCCCTGCCAAGAGTTCCAAATAAAAGCGAAGATGCGCCGACGCCTGGAATCGAGGACCCTGAGGCAATTCCAGGATTCGCAAGACAGGCAAGGACAGATTTGTCATGAATGAAGAACCCAACCCTGAGAACCTCCCAACGCATGTCCCAACCTCATTACCTAATTTCAGAGGACTTACCCAGGAAGAGCAGAGGGAGCTCCGTAGGCTGCACTGCAATTTGGAACATCCCTCACCCGAGAAGATGAGCCGGTTCCTGAAGGAGAGGGGGGCCAGTGAAGAAGTTCAGAAGGGAATCACAGTGCATGTTTGGAGTCTCGAGGAAAACCACGGTTGAGTCACCCCGGACGTATACATCCAGACCTTGATTTCTGGAGCCTACTGGACCAACAAGAAGGGAACCACATTCTTTTTCACTCACATGATCGATGAAGGGACCCTATATCATCTTGGAATACCTTCAGGGAGGGAGACTGAAGAACAGACTAGGATTTTGGAAAACTTGAGGTTCCAATGGGCAGGTCCATGTAAGGCCCTCTATTTATACCCGGCAATTGAATATCGTGGGGAAAAACTCCTCGAGTTTGCCCAACGTGAAGGTGTTCACATTACGATGTCTCAGAACAAATCACGAGGCCCCGGTGGATACTGACCTGGAAAAAATCCTTTACCAGGCTCCACTGAATTTCGTGCTAAGGCGAGACTTGTAATTTTGGGTTTTGAGGATCCAGGAATTGGAAAGATCGACGCTAACGCACCTACCCTATCAAAGGATGGAAGCCAACTTCTTCTCCAACAAGTATGCTCAAATTCCTGGCCCCTCATCAACTTCGACGTCTCCACCGGATTTTTAAGGGGAAAAGGAGATGGCCGTGAACTTGGAATGCACGCACCTGTTGAGCTCAAGTCAGCTCTCCAGATGAGTCCAACAGACCAGTGTGGTCTAACTGGAGGAGCCTATGGAAGAGCAGATGCACCACTCCTGTGCTACAACTCCTTTGGAAAGTCTTGGGTTTATAGCTTGCCCCTTTGACGGTTGTGTGTTCTCCCTGATCACTAGGAGGGAACGCCTAGAGTGAGAGGAGTCCTAGGAATTCGTGGATGATGGAATAGGGGGGGGCGACGCATACTACCAGGCTACGATCCAATCATTGAAGGAAAAATACCGTTTTGGTGCAGACTATGAAAAGGAGTTTGACTTCTGCGGTATCCACTTCAAACAAAGGGAGGATGGTTCCATAGAGATGGATCAGAACAAGTATGTAGAGAAGATTTTTCCGATTCAAGTGAGTAGGGAAAGGAGGAAGAAGCCAAACAGTCCTGTGGATGAAGCAGAAAGACAACAGCTCCGACAACTGTGTGGTAGCTTACAATATGCTTCAGTCCATACCAGGCCGGACATTAGTGCCAAGGTTGGAGTAACCGCATCAAAGATAAACACGGCGTGTGTGGAGGACCTGCTTCAAGCCAACCGGGTACTAGTTGAGGCCAAAGCAAATCGAATCAGTTTGATCACTGTTCCAATCCCAGAGTCTAGAGTGACCTTTTGTGGATTTAGTGACGCTTCCTTTTCGACAAGCAAAGGGTCGCCATCTAGACCAGGAGCTTTGATCCTTTCTACCGATCAGAGGCTTGTGCAAGACCAACAGGCTGTGATATGTCCAATAGCATGGTCATCCAAGAAGATCCCACGCGTTGTGACATCCACTCTAAGCTCGGAAGCCATTGCACTTAGTTCAGCCCTGGATAGGTTAAGCTACATCAGAGTGGTTTGGGAATGGCTGAAGAATCCATCAATTGATTGGACAGATGTCACAAAAATTTTGAAGGCTGCACCAAAGGCTTGCATCACGACGGATTGCAAGAGTGTTTTTGACGTGGCAACAAAGCTGAGTCCACCTCAATGCTCAGAGTACAGAACGACACTAGAATGCCCTCTCATCCGACAACGTCTTCAAGAAAACATCTCACTGCGGTGGATCTGTAGTCAAGCAATGCTAGCAGACTCATTGACAAAATGTATGTGTTAAAACGTTCTGAGGGAAGCCTTGAGAACAGGGGTCTACAGGTTGTTCGATGAGAGCGAAACACTTAAGAGCAGAGCCACAAAACGCGAGAGATTGAAATGGATGAAAGAAGGCAAAGCTGATGGACAAGAACAGACACATCCATGAATCAATTTTGTTTGTTTAGAAAGTTTTGATTTTGAGGGAGTGTGAATGTTCAATGAATGAACATGGTCCATCAGCTTCATGAAGCCCATCCACCAAAACGGTGGCTCAAGCTGGACAAGGCCAAGGGACACAAAGGACCGTGAGTGTAGGATCACTTAGGAGGTAGGACACACCGGGTGTATCATTCAGAGTGTATATATATGTATATATGCTGTGCAGATACATCAACCCAATTTCTTGTCAGCCACCCCTAGCCCCTAGCCTTCAAGAGCCAGTCTGGTGACTCCTGCAGAAACCAGGCTGTGTTCACAGCCAACCTCGTGTTTGCAAGCAGTGATATGAGTCGCTTGTTGGTCCCCTAACTTCACCACCAACTGATACTTGAAATTGAAACACTCCGACAAGCTAGAAAGATGATGAAAATTCACACAACCGTCCAACGCAATCCAAACACTCAAGCTGTCCTTGACTAAAGATGCAAGAATAACCGCTGCTGCAACCTCACTTGGCAAATCTTTGAGACCGGCCCGTCTGTGCTTCTCTATCATATGAGGCGGAACTTCTGCAGCCAGGCTGCTGATGCACCCACGCCCAAAGGAGTATTTTCAGGTGGCTCCATATCAGGCCCCAGCTTGCTAAGCATTCCTTCCGCCTTCAGAAGATGGCTGAGATTGGGTAGGCACGCAAAACAATTTGATCACCATGACATCCACGTATCCTTTCAACAAAATGCGGGTTTCGTTTGCACCTTTCACTGAGGTTGCTGCAAGAAGCCTGTTGTTTTCAGTACACACAATGGCGTCAATATTGCCAGCCGCCAACATTGCCAGGTAGATTTCCATGACAGGGCCGGTGGGAGGACATTCAAAAAACTATATATGTAAGCAAACCCAGGTGACAACCCGATATACAACAATTCATTAGGCAAAAAGATCATGCACCTACCAACAACATGCGGCAAAATCCCTTCACGGGAATCAAAACCAGCAGAGTGCAACCAATACACCAAAAACAAAACGTTACACTTCACCGCGCTACACTTCACCACATCACAACCACCGCATTACACTTCACTCACCGAACTTCACTTCGTCACATCACACATCACCACACTACACTTCAGGTGCACTCTTCCCTAAAGTAACGGCCGCACTCTACTTTTCAGGAGTAACCGGTGGTGTACTTTTCAAAACTACCCAGCGTATTTGCCAAAAGTACCTAGTGCGCTCTGCAAAATGACCTGGCGCACAGCGTATTTTCCAAGAGTTACCGCTGAACGAAGTTTCCACAGCCCTAACAATGTCTTCTGAATCCTCCGATTCCGTTCAATGTCAGGCAGGGCGGTACAAACCTTCTCCCGACCACCTGAATATAGCACACAAAGCCAACCTAGACTTGTCCACAACTTTACGCAACTCTGGAACTTGCTCATTGAAATGTCCTTTCTTGTGCTCGGATAGTCTTTTTGGTCTGATAGTGTTTGTTGAAGTGAATTTCATGTTGAACACAAAACAAAAGTTATCTTCAGGACAGCTCTAGTCAAGTCAGCCTGTGAACGCATGACTTGCGAGATCCACGCAGCCCGCTCGGTGAACTGCGGCTCATCCAACAACCTTCCGGCGAAGAGATAGAAATCATTCCCTTCGGCCCTTCGGCCCTCGCACCCAAGCGGCCCAACCTCCTGCTTTCGCCCAACAAGTAGCTTACTGGAGAGGGGGGGAGCGGGCCCCTAGTAGCTTCTTTGCTCCTAGTAGTAGGGCCAGGAGCCCCTAGTAGCATCCTTGTTACTAGGTTGAAGGCCGTCGCTAGTAGGTTGACGGCCATTGCTAGTAGACTCTGTGTCACACGCATTTTTTCTCTCTCCATGCTAGCCATCAGCATCGGTGCCACTAAGAATTTCTCGTAAAAGATGTACTCGATGGAGTCCACCCTCCTCACAAAGTGGGTGAAAGCTATCAAAGCACCCCGTTAATAAGCTCCCAAGCCATCTAGAGCTGTGCACGTCGCCTTGTCCCAATCAGCCAGACTGATCTCCTTCACCTAAGCTGATCTGAGGCTGGATATGATCTATATACAGTAAATGCCATGGTCCGCAGTTGTTCCTTCAATCTAATTTAGTCGCTCTCTGAAACTGATGCCAAGACATGCCAACACATACTCCGTTCAACCTGATTTCTGATCACAGGTAAGATGAAACCTGATTGATGTAGTCAAAAGCCTTCTTCACCAGCCTGGCCAGTATTTCCGAATCAAAACCCCACGCCTGGAAGTCTGGAAGCAGCTTTGCCCACAGCTGGCGACGCAGAACGCGGCTCACTACGGTGTGATGCATATCCTGAGAGTAGCGTCAATTCTAAGCTCCGTGTTGGACACTGTTTGGCAAGTCAGTTTGGCCCATCAGTGCTTCCGTTCTTGAGTATGTCTGGAGGATGCTGCCAACAAGTGTCTTTCCGGTTTTCCCACATGTGCAAGCAAGGATCTATGTCGATGGCAAGCTGTTTGCTTTTCCACAAAGCAGCAAGACCTGAAAGAAAACCAGAATCTTTCCTCCTAGGAGCCTTACTTCAGACCTTTGCAGGCAAAGTGCAAAAGGGTCCAGCGACTGCCCCCAGCCTTAGCGTTTAGAAACTGATCTCTGACATCTATTGATGTTGAAGCCCACAGTTGCATGGTTTGCGTTGCAAAGCAAGACCTTCTCAAAACTTCCTGGCGAGAAGCTCTGGCTCCTCAGCATCAGCTAGTTCCTGGCAGGGCCGAGAGCAAAACATTGAAGTCAATGGCCAAGGTCCAGAAGAACTCTTGACCAAGTTGGAGTTTGCAGGCCTGACTGTTGGAAAGCTTGTTTACCCCTCCTTAAGAAGCTGCTTCCGCTCTCCTACTTGAAACGAGCAGCGGCTTAAGGTGGACCCCCTGGTGCAATCAGAACTGAACCCCCGCTTGAATACCTTATTGTTGCATAATTGTCAATGTACAAAATTGAATACAAGAGGTGGATCTACAGGTCCTACAGTCTAGCTCTCTGCCCTGTCATTACTGTGCGGTAGATGTGCATGAGGTAGCTCTTCTAGGGTTTCCGCAGTGCGAGCAAGAAAACTGGACAGTGTGGAATCGTAGAAATGAGAGAGCCTCTCAATACTCTAACCGGAAGGTGTGGTTCTGAAGTGTCCACCAAGCACTTTGCCTCTAAAGCTGAAGCTAGCTCGCTGCGGCGTGGGCAATCCCGAAAGGTGGCAGTCTCGGCCTTGAGGGGCCAGGCAACCAACCGAAGGGAAGCGAAGATCATATAATTGGCATCAATCATGAAGTTGCAAGCACTCAAAAACACTAGCCTCCAAGCTTGCAGTCAGCCCTTCCTTCCATATCGTGGTAAAGGGGCAAGGAGTCTCGGCGTCCTCCAAACTCGGAGAGATTGGGAGAGATCCGGAGACGGAACGATGAGGTGAAAACGAAGGAAAACGCAAAGTGTTCAAGAACGAAAGACGCAAAAAAACTCAGAAAGGGAACCGGCTCGCATGTGCCTCCTCCTTCGAGAGAAGCGGCTGAAGCTCTCGGAGAAGCTGCCAGCTCTCCCAACGGAAACCTCAGCATAAGGTGTTGCTGCTTTCCTTCTCAGTGCCCAGGTCTGGCTTTCTACATTTTAGATCATTTTAGTGGATCCTATTGCTAATTTCGAAGTCGAGACGAACATCACGGGGTAGAGCCCGTCTTCAAAACCATTCATTCTAGGATTCTAGGCCGCTCAATGCAGCCCTGGAGCCTGTGGGATCGGAGTGAGCCAACTCCTCCACCAACTTTTGGGACAACTCCTTTGAGCGATGACACATGCAACAAAGCATTTGCGAAGGTGGCCCGTGGACGTTTGTTTGCAATGTTGGACACACCTACAGCCATCTTGCGGCAAACTTTGCATTCTAGTGCCAAAAGCACGAGTTCTCGGCCCAAACCTGGGTTTGATGTTCCCATGGGCAGTTGCGCCACAATCTCCCTTCGCCACCTTTTTGCGAGCAGTATGGGGAGTCTGGAGCAATTTTCTTCCCTCCACCCATCAAGCAGCTTTCTTTTTACGTTGACCCCCTGTTCGGTGCGGATTGTAGGGAATCAGAATTGGATCAGGTATGCAGCACAGTTTCGCATTCTTATGGCCCCCCTCTCGTCAAACGCCCGTGTGGCTGCACGGGATTGCATGGGCACAGGTTGTGTCAAAGCCACACTGATCGCCAAAGGCCTCAATCGCTTTTTCGTTTACTTGCCAGACCCTGCGCGAAATCCTGTCTTTGTGGCCTGGCTGCACCTCCACTGCAAGTGATCTGGATCTATGGGAACTTCCTATACGCAGCATCCCAGGCGGCAAGCGATGTGGAACCACTGCACCCACAGCTGTTCTTGGACGCTCAAAAAGCAATCAATCCTCAAGAAGTTTTGGGTTTCTGATGTTGAGCTTCTGTATCCTCTTGTCGACGGTGACTTTGCCTTTCCGAGTGAGTCGATATCAAGGCTGATTGATGTTCACGGCCAACTGCAACCCAACTCCTTACCCCGGTTGCCAAGGGTTTTGGACGACGCTTTGAGCCTCTTTGGCTTGGGTGACTTTCGGGGTGGCTTTGTTGAACCTGAAGTCCGTTTGCACTTTGGTGGTGGAGCGACTCTGCTTGGCCTCTCCCGAGCCTTAGTCACCAGGGCTAGGCATTTAATGGAGGACTTTACGAAGCGGAGGCCAGTTCCGTCGAGACAGTACATTTCTTGACCCCTTGCTTTCAGTTAGAACTTTGACTGGACCAGACGTGCACGCTGCACTGCTCACGCAATGCACGGCATGTCGCGAGCTAGCAAGACGGTCAGAGATCATGTAAAAAGCACGAAAGGTTTCAATCTTAGAGGGTCAAAAAGGCCAGCAAAGCCATGCTGAATTGTGCTGGAGTGTCGAGCTTGCATTCGGACTATCGCTGTCGAACGTCTTCAACTTTCAGAAGAAGCTTTATAAGCCGCATGTCAAACATTATTTGCTCTTCCCCTATACTTTCACACCCGCACATATATGATATAACTGTCTATTGCATGCTTCCATCTTCTAACAATAACTAAAGAGGTGGCGTGAGCGCTGGCACCTCCTGCTCCGAAGCCTTTCCCAAGGCGTGCAGGGCCCAAAGCACTCGAGCCCTTTCAGCAGAGCCTTCCGACTGGAAAGCACGACCCATACACGAGAACGAAGAAGCTGTGTGTTGCAAGCCCTCAAAAAGAAGCTGCGGCACTTTACCGGCCTTCAAGTTGATTGACTGCTGCGAACAGGGCATCTGGTGCACGCTCGGCCCACTCCTGGCAGGCCCAAAACATTGGCCCAACGACGTCCCAAATCATCTTTCACATGTCCAAATCACTCCAAAATGGTTCCTATGGCTCATCAAAACACGGTGCGAATGCTTGCACTAAACATTATTCGGATACAAACCACTATCCAAACAATTTGAAGCGATAAACTCATCAACCCTGCGGCATTGCTACCTCCGGTCGGCCAGCAGCAGCGTTGAGCTCAAGTCCACTCATTGCAACAGCTGCTAGCCAGAAAGAGCCTTACAGAACAAACCACTTTTGGTAGTTTCAATATGTTGCCCTTTGTCCACTTCCGTTCCAACAGAAAGAAGACAACTTACTCAAAAGTGCTTGAAGGCCAAAAAGAGGCGCATCAAGTGTGAAGAACACATGACTGGCAGTCCTGCCAAACCAGATACTCTCTCCGCATCAAGGACTTGCCGGGGTCTCTCGTCTTCAACCTGCGGGATGGATGCTTGCCATGTGCAAGTTGCCGCTGAATCAAGCATGACGATACCTTTGCAACAATCGATAGTTTCTGCGGCTTCCCTCAATTTGGTGGAGACCAAAGATTCCAAAGCTATTGAGCTGACTTAAAACTCCGTGGCCTCTTGATCTCTGCGCAGAGCCTGACGGTGCAACTTGTCAGCTGTGTCTCAGAATACAGGATGTTAATATAAGAGGGAAATGGCTGTGCTGGCTTGCGGTGTGTCTGGTTACGGAGTTGCAGAGGCCCGCGGTAAACGGTCAAACGGTAAAATGTTGAGCACACACAAACGCAGGGTGAAAGGGTATAAAACCGTTCAATACCAAGGTGGCAGAAGCGAGGAGTAACACGGTAAAGCAAACGTTCCGAAGGTCAGCCAAACTCATGGAGTGAGAAAAGCATCACATGACATAGCGAAAACAAATTGCGAGCCAATCTTGATTTGTCCACCGTAGAGCCAAAGATGTTCAAAGCAAGAGTCTAGTCTATCTGTCTTTGGTTAAGATCTAAAAATCCGCATCTTCTCTTCGAGAAGCTGCACAGACTTCAAGTTGTAGGCTTGACAATGCGCAGGCACTGAACCGGAGTCGAGCAAAGCTGAAAACACATGGATTGAGTGATGCACAGATGCATTTTGCAGCTCTAATCCATGTGCGCACTGTTTCCTTGTTTGTGGCGTTTTGCACACAGGCTTGATTAGATAGAAAATGCACATGCGCATGGTGCTCTGTTGTGTTTGCTGGCTGTTTTCTGCCTTTGCTGTTTTGATGCACTCGAGGACACCACAGGGCACGGTAAAAGGGCTTAAATTTACTAAAC